GAGAGCGGCATGGAGCCGATCGCCTTCTCCTCCCTCAAAGAGAGCGGCATGGAGCCGATCGCCTTCTCCCTCAAGGAGAGCAGCATGGAGCCGGTAACCACGGCCCAACTCGCAGAGAAGGGCGCGATGGATCCTCTCCCGCCCTCGCCCCCCCCTTCCCCCGGCCCCACTCACCCGTGCCCGGCTCGCCGCTCTCCCCTGGCCGCCTGTCGCCCATGGCCGGGGCTCGCTCGGGGCCGTCCCTCAGGCCGCCCTCATGGCCGCCCCGCCCGGCCCCCGGCACGGCCCCGCTCTAGCGGGCCGGCGGCATGAGGCGGTGCGGGGCGGCCGCCGCCATCCGCCGGCCCCAGGAAGTGAAAGGACGAGGAGGGTGGAGGAGGAGGAGGAGGGTGGAGGAGGAGGGAGAAAAGGAGGGAACGAGGGGCGGGAGCGGCGGGGAAAAAAACAGAAAGTGAAAACTGAACCGGAAAGACAGCGAGGGGCCGCCCGCGGGTTTTCCTCTTCCCGCGGTCACTGGGCCTTGGCTGCGCGGCTTTTCCTTTTCCGTGCTGCCTCATTGTGAGGGAGGAGCTGGCTCGGCCATCTGTGTTTGCCCTTGGTGGGGATCTTGCCCTGACCGTGATCACCCTGGCTCCTCCATGCGTGACTTCAGCTCTGCCCGCTGCCCCTTCGCTCGTCCTCTCATGGGGAGAGACTCCTTTCTCTCCTCAGTACTTCTCCCTCAGTGTTTTCTCTCTTTTGGGTCTCCCCCAATTCCCTCCCTGACCTCTTTCCACTTCCCTTTCCCTCATTCTTTTCCTGCTTCGAGCTCATCTCAGTGCCTTTGCCATGTTTTGGACTTTGCCTCAGTCCTCGAACTCCTTCCTTTGTCTCCTCCACATCATGGCCAGAGCTCCTTTTCTCACCTCAGTCTTTTCCCCTCAGGATTTCCCCTTAGTTCCTTGGTTTGGATTTTCCCTCAGTCCCATAACCCCATATCCTCACCCTTCACACCATTCCTTGAGCTCCTTTCCTCGTTTTGGACCTTTCCCCTCAGTGTTTCCCCTCAGTTCCTTATTTTGGGTCTTTCCTGAGTCCCAAAATTCCTTCCCTTATCCCCTCACACTTTATATCATGGCCTTCTCTCCCCTCAGTCCTTCCCAGGAACAGAGATGGGGCTGAGGATTGAAGGGAAGTGCTGAGGTGAGGGAAACAAAATGGGGTGGGAAGATGAGGGAAGGGGACAAAATGGATGAAGAAATACGGGGGAAGGCCTTGAGGGAAGGGACCGAAGGAATGAGAAGGGGTCTGAGGGAAGATCCAAAATGAAAAACTGAGGAAAAACTGGGCTAGAACAGATTAAAAATTATGGGGAAAGGCCCTGAGGGAAAGGAGCTGAGGGGATCAGGGATTTTGGAGGCATTGAGGGAAGGACTGAGGTGAGGGAAGGGGTTTAAGAAATGTTGTGAGGATTGAGGGAAAGAAAGAATGAGAAGGGGACTGAGGGAAGATCCAAAATGGAAAAACTGAGGAAAAACACTGGGCCAGAACAAATGAAAAATGATGGGGAAAGGCCCTGAGGGGATGAGGGAAGGGATTTTGGGAGGATTGGAGGAAGGCACTGAGGGGCAAGGACTGAGGTGAAGAAAGGGGTTTAAGAAATAACATGAGGGAAAGAAGGAATGAGAAGAGGATGAAGGGAAGATCCAAAATGAAAAACTGAGCCAGAAAAACTAAAAAATTATGGGGATTGGCTCTGAGGGAAGGGCCAAAATTAAAGGCTGAGTGAAAACAGTGAGGGACAAGGACTGAGGTGAAGAAAGGGGTGTAAGAAATAATATGAGGGAAAAGGAATGAGAAGGGAAGATCCAAAATGTGAAGCTGAGGAAAAACTGGGCTAGAACAGATAAAAAAATGATGGGGAAGGGCCCTGAGGGAATCAGGGAAGGGATTTTGAGGAGATTGGGGGAATGGATTGAGATGAGGGAAGGGACTCAGGGAACGATGTGAGGGTGGAAGAAAAGAAGGAATAAGAAGGGGACTGAAGGAAGATCCAAAATGAAAAACTGGGCTAGAACACATAAAAATGATGGGGAAAAGCCCTGAGGGAAAGGGGTTGAGAGGATTATTAAAATCCCTATTGATGGTTCTGAGTTGCCTCACCCCAATCCTGAACCCCAGGTGGAACAGAAGCAGCAAATACTCATTTTTAGGGTTCAGCAGGGTGGGCAGAAACACCAAAACCACCTCAAAAAGCAAATGTCACAATCGCCTTCAGAGCAGGGAACAGGGAGATCTGGGCTTGCCCAACCTCTTACACAAGAGCTTGTAGGAACAGCCCGTCCTGAACTTTGGGGCAAAGGTTGTGTTTGGTTGGGCAACGAGGCTTGGAGGGAATTCCACTTGGAATTTTGGCAATGAGATCTCTAAAAGGTCACCTGATCAGTGGCTTGTCTTTGTTTTCTTCTGTCTTCACTCAAAGACAGGATTAAAAACAAGAAGGAGACGAATTTCTCGTGTTCAGGCTTGGCTGTTGATTAAATTTTATCTAAATTTCAGAGAGTTCTGCAGCACTTCCAGCTACCTGCTAAAAGTGAGCAAAATGGAGCTGAATTCAGCTGGTTACAAGGTCTTTTAAAGCTAAACAGTCCAATAAAAAACTAACACCTATATTATTGATACTTTTGACTTAATAACTAAACCCTTGTGACCTGCAGTGCAGCACTAACTACCCAATGAAAAGTTACTACTTGAAACCATGAAGAAAAAGGAAGAAGAAAACAGAGACAGCACCCAAAATCCTCCATCTTGTCCCATCACTCAATTTTGGAAGTCCAAAGCAGTGCTCTCCAGGGAGGTCAGTGCCAGAAAGCTCAAAAAATCCCCAAATTTCTGGGTTTCCAGCATCAATCCATGCTGCTGCATCCATAATAAACTCAGGGACAAGCTGATTCCTGATCCTTGCTGTGGTGCTCTGTTTTTTTGCAGGAAAGATTGGAAAACAAAAAAAAAAAAAAAAAAAAAAAAAAGGGAACAACAATGGAACAACTCGTTTATGAGTCATTTATTACCCAAATAAGTCAGGAATGTGCCCTCATGGATATTTCACCCATCCTAAGAATTTGCTATGGCAGCAGCAGAGTGCAAAGTGCTGCTGCCCAGTGAAGGAAAAATTAAGTCAAGGGAAGAAAAAGTGGTTTTTTGGTTTTTTGGGGGGACAAATTTGCCAGATCCATGGGTTTTTCCAGCTCCTGCTGGCAGGTAAAAACCTGGAATTCTTGCTGGGACAGAAATCAATTCCTGGTTGTCCTTTGAGAGGGGAAAACCAACAGCCCTGTGCCTTGACCTAAGAGATTCTGGAGCATCTCAAGAGCAGATCTGCAGTCACAACATCCCAAGTTTCCACCTCCAGTGGGATCATTCAGTCACTGTCCCAGGGAAATCCAAATATTTGAATGCTGGCAGCTACTTCTGCAGAATTTTCACCTGACAGCTCCTTTTTCCTATGCTCCAAAATCCAAAAAAACTCAAAGGGATTTTGTCATCAGCACTTCTGATTCTTTGGACTGCATCATCCTAAAAATCTTTCCCAAATTTAATTATTTTGTTAATTTGGCTGAGGAGCCTCTGGAGATCAAAGGTCATTTTAAAGTGGATTTTTTTCTGTCCCTTTTTGGTGCCTCATGGCTTTTTGGGTGGTGACAAAGCCAAGCCCATGATGTCACCGTGGCAAGGCTCTGTTTTCTTGGAAACCTTGACTCATAAGGTTCTGGCGTGCTTAAATCCGAATTTAAAGAAGCCATTTGGAGTTTTATTTCCCTCTTTTATTCAGGAAAAAAAATAATAAAATAAAATTTTGACTGATCTGGGAAGGAATGAGTCAATTGGGAGCTCAGGGCAAAGCAATTAATTCAATTTATTAATTATGAATTATGAGGCAGTGCCAGACAACAAGGCAGGGATCTTTGGAGAAAATTTCTCCCAATTTTCTCCAAAATCCACGGTTTTCTGCTCATGAGCTCAAGAGCACAGAAATTTACTTCTCCCCCCCACCCCATTTCTGCTCTATTTTCTCTAATTCTCAAAACCAAACTGCAGTGGGGAGGGGAAAAAAAAAACATCAAATGCAAAATCTGAACCTTTTAACCCAAATTTTTAATTTATTCCACACCACTGCCGAGGTGGGTGTCACCCCCCTTGCCCTGTTCTTCACTCAACTCAGGAAAAACTCCTTTAATCTCTAAGATCTCACAGCAAATTTTTGCCCAATTTTATTTTATTTCCTCTTTAATTTTATCACATCTGCCAAAAAAAAAGTGAGAATAATTTAAAAATGCCCCATAAAAAAGCATTTTTGGTGCTTTTTCATGGTGTCTTCATGCAGTGCTCACAACCCACTTAAGATTTTTGCTTTGTGATTTATTTTTGGTTTTGGTTTTCTTTTTTTTTTTTTTTTTTCGCAGTTTGGGCATCCTGCAACTTCCTTTAAAACCCAAGGTGCTGCTCGAGTGGTGAAGCCAAACATTTAAAATAGT